AATACTACAATTTTGTTGATTTCTTGATAGTTGACACTTCAAACTAGAGCAAATAGACTACATACCTAAAACTTGTACGGGTTAAATGTATCTATTCGAGTTTTGAAATTTATGAATTTTTATAATAATAATAATTATAATGTATTCATTGTAATTTCATATTTTTTGTTTTTGAAAAGAATGGAGTATAAACAGATCATATACATATACTGAATCTAGGCAAAAGCTATTGGATTCGCATGAATCCATAATAACTGATGTAGATATATATGTACTTAAGGGGTATATTTATATCCTCTGGATATGTTTTTTAGTGGGACAAGAAGCATCAGAAACAGGTTGAGAGAATAGACTCATTACCAATGCAAAAAGTACAATATAACAAAGGACTTGCTGTTATAGCAAGAAATGATGATCAGTCAGTTTTTTTTTTACTTCAATAATATACAAGTTGAATTAAATACCATAATAATACAATGTGGAAGATATGAGTACTAGCTAGTACAGTACAAGACGTTATGGGGACAATTTCAAGATTCCTAGGAGTACTACTTATAATTTTGAAAACAACTTTTCAGACCAATTTTCTGTTAACTAAACAGTCGTGTATCCTCATTTGAGTCATTTTTATTTAAAAAATCACGATTTTCCCAATGAAATTTCTTATTGGAAAGTGTTTAGTGGCTATTCCTATCGATATTTTGATTGAATCAATGAGAAAAGAAAAAATAGTGATGTTTTCTCATTGGAAAATTAGGAAGTTTCAAAATATTTTAGTAAGAATATGTTTCCTACTATATGCTTTTCTAGTGAGCTTGGTCGATAGAAAATGAGTGAAAAAAATTATATTTTATAATATAAAAATTTTCATTGATTAACGATAGGAAAAACCTTTGTTTCTAGTTGTGAATTGAACCCAAAATAAAACGCATCACTGATCACTAATGTGTGGTTGGAAGGCTTTGAACCATTGACCACACGTCTAGTTGTAAGATGAATAAAGTATTTATTAGTCATATTTACTTCTAGTTATATTTAGTCTAATACTAAAACACAAAATTGCAAAAAGGAAGGATTTCAATTTTTGTATTTAGTTATGGCTAGGATGAAGGGGCTCGGGGAGAAATAGTAAAGTTGTCTCCGTGCCTATGACTTATAGGTTATGAATTCACCATAAAGTAATTAGTAGTTGATATTTGTCTCATGATACACTTCTTATTCCACTGGGAATGTGGTTGTTTTTGTGCAATATTTTGTGCATCGAATTGTCTGTTATTAATTATGGACCTATGGTTAGAATAGGAACCTTTATCATTAAGTTTAGATAAATTCATATGTCAAATAAATTCAATGGTTGGACCTATTTTAAGATTCCAATAGTTCCTCTTCAAAAGAAAACTGTCATCAGACAGGTTGGAACAAAGTTCCTGTTTAATGGAACGGACATTTGTGCCTCAAAGTCATTAACCTAAATTAAGTAAGGGACAGTTACGGCCTGAGTCATTTGATTATCTAATTTAAAAATATATACAAAGTATATAAATTGTGTGTAAATATATACTATACATTGATAATGTATATATTGTGAATATGTCGGTCATGTTAGTAAACTAGTTAATTGAACGGTATATTTGGTAGCTTTCCCCTTAAATTAGTACTACTAGTTTGTAGGCTCTTAAGATTTGGTTTCATCCTAATATAAACTTTTACTACTTCACTACTTTATACTATTTCTATTTCAACTTGATTGACATATTACAATAAGCTAACTATTCCAGTTGTTCCTATGTCAAATAATTAGATGTATTCTTTTCTTTTTTTCTACTAAAAATAATATTATATTGGTGAAGAGAGTTACTTTCTATTTGATTGATTACAAATTGGAATTTTTGATTGACACCACTTTAACAGATATTTTTTCAAAACTCTTTTGGTCCCCTCCAAATTAAAGTGTTATTGGTTGTGGTGGTGGCTTCGTTCAGGTTTAAACAAACAATTGACCATAAATCATACCCTTCACTTCTTTTTATCACGAAAAATTTATTCACACTTGATATTTATACAAAATTAATGAAGGATGACACGTATCTTAATATGCACATTTATCAGTGTAAGCAAACTACTGATTATGAATTTTATATCATTCAAATGAAAATAGGAAATGGTTTTGAAAATATAACTGTGAATGGTCAAAATATTTATTCACAGATTACCCTACTTATATAAATCCAGCAAATTAACGTGTACCCTCCCCTCTCTTCTTTTGTTTTGTAATCATAGTGTCTAGACCAATTTGCGTGCACCAAAACCTATATCAATACTAGTGTCGGATAACTTTTTCCACCAAAGCTTAATGTTTTTAGCTTTGTGCCCAATAATATTTGAAGTTGAGACCAGGTAATTTTCAGTCGGCTTCATTGACCAACACTGGGTGCATTCACCGTTACACTTTAGTTGCAATTGGATTTGATTGATTTTGAGGTTCACCAATTTTCAGCATTACAAAACTCATGTGGTGTCCAATCCTTCCCATGAAATATCGTATCATACTAAAAACTGAAACGATCTCTAACCCTTTAAAGAATTGTACGAAGTTTGCTGGAACATCCTCTCTAGGACCCCCCAAAAAAAATAACAACCTTATAGCTACCTTTTAAATTAAATGGATCTTGATTAAATTTTTCACAAGCCTAGCTATAATAATTTTTAGCCGGCAGAATCAAAAGTTCAAAATCGCTCGCGACTAAAGCCATTATGGTAAATCGCACGTCGAAGGTTGACAAATTTTTAGGTTAAAAAGATTAATTTCTAAGTGTATGGTTGCCTCCACATTTTTTAGTGGATTTGGAAACTGGAATTCCATTTTGCAATTCCAATACAAATTGTACAAGTCCTATAAATTTGCCAAATTTCAATGTAGGAACAAGCTAAGCATGCATTCTTGAATATTCATTCCCCCCATATCAAAAACAGGATCCCTGCTTTTGATGATACACATCTACTATACATCATTGATGCACAAGAAAGTTTTGGGCTCTGCCAAAAGCAATAATAATAATAATAATACTCCCTTGAAAACCATTTGATGTGGGGAGCTATATAGACCAAAGGGGTTCAATTAAATCACCTTCATCGAATTATAACGTGTAAATAAGATATATTATTGAATCTATGTGATCTAAGCGAAGTTGTAGTAGCAAATGAGGCTCAAGTATTAGTTCACAAGTTTGAATCTAATTATGCTGACATTTTATTGAATATTGATTCTGATATCATGTGAAAGATATATCGATCCTTTTTTTCTTTTTAATTTGTTATGATATTGGTGGGGGTTTTGTTCTTTTTAGTATTGAGGGGACCCCAAGTTAATGTTAGCGGCAAGTTCGTGTATATTGAACTTAGAAGCAATATATTGCTTTTCATAAAATCTTTCCCAAAAAAGTATAATTTTAACTTGTAAAAGTGAAAAATGAGAGGGCCAGTATCTGTAATATAATAATCTCAACTCCAAGACCTCATCATTAATCTCTCCTTAAACTTCCCCATCATACAGCTAAATAAATTATCAAAAGAATAATTATCAATTAAATTAAATGGAGAAAAAGGTGAAAGAGAAAAAGAAGCACTCAATTCCAAGATTGAACCAAATCAAAATTGAAGGATGAGAAGACATAAGAATAAGAAGTATCTCAGTCAAAGTAGTCAAACTTTTACAGCCCAAGGAAACGAAATCTAGGGCCTCATAGAATAAAGAGCTACTATAATATATTGTATAAATTATAGGAATCATAAGTATTAAATAATATCCTATCCCTTCTAGTTTTTTATTTATTAAAAATTCCTTAAAAATGATGTTTACGGGATACATTAGATTTGATACATTCCACATAGCGGGATACATAGCGTTGTGCACGTGATACATTAGGTTTGATACATTCTACATAGCGGGATACATAGCATTGTGCATGGGATACATGCGGGATACATAGCGTTGTGCATGGGATACATAACGTTTGATACATTCCACATAGCAGGATACATAGCGTTGTGCACGGGATACATGCGGGATACATAGGTAAATAAGGGATTTTTGAAATTTTTGAAATAAGTAGGAATAAATGGATATTAAAGTAAGTAAATGAGTGTAGTAAAGTAACTTGTCCTAATATATTTAATAATACAACAACAAATAATAATTATGTCTTAATCTCAATAAAATTGATAATATAAATCTTATTTCTTCATTCAAGCTCATATTATGTAATCAACACATTAAGAAATATTAACTACTCCTATATAAGCTTATTTAGATTGTTAGGAGAGGCGGAACTGTAAATTCAATTTTATGAGTTATGGACTTCATATCAACGACTTCAAGTGGTAATAACTAGATTCTAAATGTAATAATTGAACATATACAATGAATTTCTTAAAAACTAATACATTGTTTGAGCAAATTATACTAAGTTCAGCCTAATTTGTATCTGGACTTCTAGTTTCGTCTCTGATTACCAGTTCTTAGTCTGAATTAAGGAGGAGGGTTGTGATAGAGTGACAACCAGCACAAAACTTGTCAATTTGTGATGAATAATCATATTTAAGAATAAAAAGTGAAAAATGAAAAATTAAAGATTTCTCTCTAATTATCATTTTTATGTGCAGACCCCCTTTTTGATTCTTGATTCTTAAAAAGTCCTGCAGACTAAATCTTTATGAATAGGAAAGTGTAATGCCTTAGGCCAACTCATGAACTTGTCATGTTTGCTTTTTTTTTTCATTTGGACTGAGAAATTCCCCCTTTTTTTAATTTTTCCTTTGCCTTTTTCTCCTTTGCAGCATTTCTCTGCTTCCTTTAAATAATGAATATGGCAGATTCTCCAATCATCTCCTCCACTCTGTAGGAAACACACATAATTGCACCCAACAACCAAATCCTTTTCACTATATAGACAGACTCCTCTTATCTCACTTCAAAATATATTCATCACCTTTTCTTCTCTTGAAAAAAAAAAAAAAACTTCATGATGAGTCATTCTTCATCTACAACTTCTGTTAATGGATTCTACAACTTCTTAACTAGAGGACTTGACAATCTTGATCACTTATTCCTATCTCAAAACTTCATGTCTTTTCATTTTCTTCAACATGTTTTGTCATCTTTAAGGTCTTTTCATTCCCAATTAACATTACTAGTCCAAAAGTTACATTTGCCTGTTGGAGAAAAATGGCTTGATGAGTATATGGATGAAAGTTCAAGGCTTTGGGAAGCTTGCCATGTTCTTAAATCAGCAATCACAAGCATGGAGAATTATTACACTGCTGGTGCTAATTTTGCTTCTTCTCTTGATGATCACCACATTTTAAATCCCCTGCTTTCCCGCCAGGTTGTGTGTTTTATATCGATCATTTTTTTTTGTGTTAAGTTGTAATCTTTAATAGTTCTAATTTCTTCTTGATTGCAGGTTATTCGAGCGATAAATCGATGTCAGAGGGAAATAGTAGGACTTGAAGAAGAGAACAAGAGCTTAATGGAAACAAGAATGCAAGATTTATCATTGAATTTCGACGAAAATGTTCTGATAGGATCAAAATTCAATGGATTTAGTGGGTTCAGAGGAGTGCTTTATGCAATGAAGAATGTTAGTTCATTGCTTTTGGTTATTTTACTAAGTGGACTTGTATATTGTTGGCCACAAACAAGTTTTTACCAAAATGGTAGTCATGAAGGGAACATGGTTTTTGGTTCATCTTTTATGGTTTCAACTTCAAGATTGTATCAAAGAGTTGCAGCAGAGGTGAATCAGGCTGAAGGACAACTCCCAGGGATCCTACTTTTCGAGTATCGAAGAGCAAGAGTAGCCATGGCTGAGCTGAAAATTGAACTAGAAAGAGCTAAAGAATGTGGAGTAGTATTGTCACAAGTTGACATCCATGATAAGATTGAAAATTTGAAAGATTGCTTTGGAATGTTGAAATGTGGGGCAGAAAGCATCATTGGCCAACTTGATGACTTCTTTGATGAAATAGTTGAAGGAAGAAAGAAACTTTTGGACTTGTGCACTCATAGGTAATTTAAAGACACATATGTGCCTTAATTAGGAGATGCTAGAAATGTAACAATAACTTAGTGGGGTAGTTTTTTTTACATCTTTAAAATGTCATTTTCCCTATTTTGCAGCTAAAGTTTAGTCTTGAAAAACTTTAGGAGGAAGTTTTCTCTGTCAAGTAATGCATGAATATTATTATCCTCAAGGGAAAAAAATAAATAAAAAACCAGAATGTGATTCTTCCTTTGAATAAAAGTAGACATTATAAACAAGAAGAATATGTTGGATAAAGATAGCTTCAATGAAAAATAAAAAGAATTATAAAAAAAATATCCACTCAAAATGTAGATTCTTCTCTTTTATCATCAATATAACTGCATCAAAGATAAGAATTGTCTGTTCTTGTTTTACTGACAAATGCCAGCAGTCACTTCAGTGGGAATAACATAAGAAGATTGATAAGAATCACAATTATCATATATATGTATACTACTTACACTTTAATCACATATAGAATATTGTGTATTTATTTAACTCCCAATTCATACCCCACACATAAATGTTATATCACCTATGACCTGTTACATGTCCTTACACTTTAACTAGGAATTTTGTTACTATGGTTAGACCTCACTTGAGTTGGGGCATTCTATGATCAAAGACGAATTTTCATAATTTAAACTTGTTGTGTTCTTAGTATTGAACACATTTAGCAAGTTCACGTATGTAACTATGCCATGTGTCGAGAATATTAGGTTTAGTTGAATCTCTAATAAGCTCCATCAACATGTATCTATAAATATGTCAATTATTTTACCATTACATCCAAAATGTCCTCTCTCTTTATAAATTACCAAAAAAAAAAATGAAAGATCCCCCCCCCCCCCCCAACCTCCCCTCACTCTCTCCTGCATCATTGATTTACAATGATGATTATGATTACAATTCGACTACTTAAAGGTTATTTATTCCCCAACCATACAAAGATGAAGATACATAAATGATTATCCCAACTAACATAATAAATACTTGTTCAAAGGCAACATTTTGATGTGTTGAGGAAACATAGGAGTTGAAAGAATAATTTATTATACTACTATGTTTTAGTAGGTGTTGTCTTAACAAACAAACAAAAAATTGAATTTTTATAATAGACAGGTTAGCTAGGTTTAGGTTTACTGAAATTAGAAGATGCTCTTCTGTCAATTGGAAAAGAATGTGATACCACCTAAATATAAAGTAAATAAAAAGGAATGATGCTTCCTGCCCACATGACACAACTATTTTGTAGAAAATGACAGCTTCTTAATAATGTTAATAACACACATTAGATACATCTTTTTAACTTTCTTTGTTGGTTATAATCACAGCCAACAATCCCCTTTTTCTTGCAATTAAGTTTTGTCTAATTCTCATTAAAACTTGATGTTTTTGAACCTTGATTAATTAAGGATCTTAAAAGTTAAAAAAATCTTTGATTTATTAAACAGCCTAAAAGTTGATGTTGGGAAGAAAAAAAAAAGGTACTTTTTAGCTTTTCTGATAAGGCAATTCAACGATTTTCTTTTTAAAAACGAGACAGCTAACATGACTAGTACAAATTCAAACAGGAAAATAGCAGAAACAGCTCGCAAAAGGTACTGAAAAATAGTTTGCTAATTTTGGTCATAAGAGGTGTCCGTTTAGTTTAATTTTGGTTACAACCCTATATTTAAAATTCCTTGTCCAGGGACATATAAAGTAAGTATCCGAAGAGTGATAATTGAATTTCACATAGTAGAAATTTTATTGAGAATCATTCATGAGTTGTATTAGTAAATTACTAATGATTCTAGTAGTGAAAAAAGTAATGGAGAAGTGGGCGGAGACAGAGGAAGAGAAGGATCATGAGATTCCTGGCTGCTAGCATTCATCTCTTTTTCTTTCTTTTAACTGTGGAAGCTTTTGTCTGATTCCCAGAAAAGGATGTCTATTTTTTCAAGGAAGCAAACAATGAGAAGAGTACATTGTAGCATGTTGTTGTTGTTGTTATTATGTTACTAGTATTAGTATAGTCGAATAAATGATGATTAGTAGAAAACAAGCAGCTACCTCTCTGTGGCTGCTGTCAACAGAGTCTATACTCATTTTCTTGTATCCTACCTCTGACATGTCATCTGTTCCCTGTGGCTGTGAAAATTGTGATTTTCTTCTCTAATTATTATCCTCCTTTTCTTCTTTACAACTTGCAACTCAGACTTGTTCCTTTCAACTATCCAAATCATGATTCTGGTTTCCCAACTTTTCACGTCTTTTCCCAATATCTCCAACCCCCAAACAACTTTCTTTCTGCACTTGCTATAACCTTATTGGACACACTTTTAAACAAAGTTGCTACACCTGGTCGAAATGTACTCTAATGTTTTGGCATCTTAACTGTGCCAACTCCATTCTTAGCATTAGGTTACCTTGAGTAGAATGCAATCTTCTCAGAGGCAAGGAACGGCAAATGACCTGAACACCTACTAAATATTCTACTCTTATCAGCTCTTTCATATAATAAACACATTCAATAAATCCACAAAGTACTGAACCTGATTAACCCTGAGGGGTAGCTCAGCTGGTAAAGGCCTGGGACAAAGTCCTTCAGGTCGCCGGTTCGAGCCCCAGCAGGGCCACTGGAGGCATTACAAACCGGCCGCGTCTCCAGGGCCCCGTGGAACTAACCGTGGTGGACCCGCCTTGAAACAGCGGGACCCGGTGGGTACAGCTAGTCGGGTTCGCAAAGCGACGCCCGGAAACCACGGTAAAAAAAAAAAAAAAAAAAAAAAAGTACTGAACCTGATTATAATAGAGACTGAAACTGCTGCTAATCTAAGGCACTCCAACAGTAGCTCTAGCAAGACGACTCATCAACACTTAAAATGGAAGGGGAACAACATAAATTAAAGATATTAACACTCAACACTTAACTTTAAATTTAAGACATTATTTCAAACCTTCCCTTTCATTTTCCTTCGTTTCTTTTTTAATCAGGTTTACGTACAATCAACCTTGTAACCTCTTCAATGAGAGAACTATAGAGTATATACAAGTTGAATATTAAAGATATAATAATATAGTTACAGCCAAGAATAATGAGACCCAAAATGAGTGTATTTAAAATAGCTATAGGAGAATGAATCAGGTCCCCCTGTGACATAACACTATTTAATTTACCAAAACCCTTGACAAAAAAAACTGACACAGACCATTACTTCAATTTACCATGGCAATAGATAAGGATGCAAAACACTCCATTGTGGCATATCATAAGTTAATCCAGGCTTGCTAAGCTCAAGGGAAACGTGAACACATCATATAAGCCTACTCAATCACTAACCACAAGTTGGGTGCACCGCTGTTCTCCCTATCCACAACAAAGGTTGGTCAACAAAAAAAGAAAGAATTCCTCCACCAGAACAAGATTTCCAGCTAGATTATACTTCAAACCCAGGCATTGCAAAGAGGGATGCAAAATTTTCAACACGTGTTCGTAACTCAATAACATCTTTATTGTTCTCAATGCCTTTCAGAAAACCCTTAGCGAGCTTTCCATGTTCTCTCTGTATCGAATTTGTAATCTGTGCTGCCTTGAGGAGGAAATCTGCCATCGTATCAAAATCACTCTCTATACAGCCTCGTGATGTCATAGCAGGGGTCCCTGCAGTCAGAACAAGAAAAATTGATTACGCAAACAGCATTTCAACTCCTAAAATTTGATATATGTGCCTCCATATCCAAACTTACCGATCCTCACACCTCCAGGAGTAATACTTCCATTATCATCAAAGACCATTACTTTGTTGAGAGTGATGTGACACAACTCGCAGACCTTCTCAAAATTCTTACCTGCAACATAGAAGTACAAAGATCATCACCAATACATTCAAAACCCGCAAAGCAAGTCAGCAACTGCAATTCTAATCATATTGAAATAGGAACATCCTGTCCCAGAATCACAAGCAATAGAATTGGCACGGGATGATCAGTTTATTTTTGAAGTGTACAAGTAAATTAATCAATGCCTATAATACCCTAGCTGAGCAAGTGTTGTTAAAGGCCTATTCTAGGCACATCGCCACATTTATGGCCCGCTTCAAACAAATAACTGTAGATGACAGTGATAGATTGATTGTCAAAAAATTTTATGGATGGACATTAATAATTGGGAATAACAAATTAGAAATTTAACACAAGTAATCACCAATATGAATTTGAAAATAGCTTACAAGTCAGAAATCCAACATTATTTTTAACGTGATTGGCATAGTTTTTCTTTTCATATTACACGCTGCCTTCACAAAAGTTGGTTTTTTTTAATTTCACATTGCTGGTAAACACAAGGAAACCTTATAAACCTTTTCGTCTTTGATAATATTGAGTTGTGCTGGGTTATGCTAGGAGTTAACTCTCCTTGATACCTACATCACAGGCATTGAACAATAGTAAATGCTTTGTCTTATACATAGAAACACTCTACTTTCAGACTGTGTCGGCAACTATGCTGGGACTTAACTCTCTGGGAAAACCGACCTCACATGCCATTTAACAATTGTAGATGCTTTTCATGTCAAAAGAATATTTGCAAAGATTACAAATATTTTTTAATAACAATTATAAGCTAAAATTACTACTATTTATCTTTAGCACATTGGTGTCCATGATCCTTATCTCATGTTATTGCCATGTTAACTGCAACCAACTAACTCTCAAATTTAAAATACATGTCTCCATGTTCTGTTCATAATGCTAGAGATAGGACAACACTCAAGTAGTAAGAACTGCACAAAAACAAAACTGGTGCCTCCCACACGATCTCCATTTCTCAACAATTTGACTGTTCTTTTAGTAATCAACTCAAAACTTAAACAAGACATTCAATTGAGCGGGACGGAATCAATATATGACAAGCAGCCAAGACATCTCACCACAAGTAAGATTTGGGCGGATTAATTGCCTCTTGACAATCATCAGACTTTTAAAGAAATCTCGAGACCAAACCTAATGAG